GTGCTGAACCTGGCACACCTTGCACGCACCCTGCGCCTCACACGCTACCCCTCGCACCCTCGCCAGTGTGCTGAACCTGGCACACCTTGCACGCACCCTGCGCCTCACACGCTGCCCCTCACACCCTCGCCCGTGTGCTGAACCTGGCACACCTTGCACGCACCCTGCGCCTCGCACGCTGCCCCTCGCATGCCTCGCACGCTGCCCCTCACACACCTCGCACCCTCGCCAGTGTGCTGAACCTGGCACACCTTGCACGCACCCTGCGCCTCACACGCTGCCCCTCACACCCTCGCCCGTGTGCTGAACCTCGTACGCCCGCTGCACCTCGCACGCCTCGCACCCTTGCACGTGTGCTGAACCTGGCATGCCTCGCACGCCCGCTAGACCTTGCATGCCTTGCACCCTCGCCTGCATGCTGAACCTGGCACACCCGCCTCGCCCTCCCGCCTGCCCGCTGCACCCCGCACCCTCGCCCACGTGCTGAACCTGGGACACCTCGCACGCACACTGCACCTCGCACGCTGCCCCTCACACGCCTCACACCCTCGCCTGTGTGCTGAACCTCGCACGCCCGCTGCACTTCGCACGCCTCGCACCCTTGCACGTGTGCTGAACCTGGCATGCCTCGCGCGCCTGCTGCACCTCGCACGCGTGCTGAACCCAGCATGCCTCGCACGCCCGCTGCACTTGCATGCCTTGCATCCTCGCCCGCGTGCTGAACCTGACACACCCGCCTCACCCTCCCGCCTGCCCGCTGCACCTCGCACGCCTAGCACCCTTGCCCGTGTGCTGAACCTGCTTTGCCCGCGCACTGCACCTCGCCCGCCTCGCCCGCGTGCTGAACTTGGTATGCCTCACACACCTCACATGCATGCTACACATGGCACGCCTCGACCCACCTGCCTCACCCACATGCTGAACCTGCCACACCCCGCCCGCCTCGCCCGTGCACTGCCCCTGGTATGCCCGCCTCACCCGTCTGCTGAACCTGGCACGCCTCACGCCCTCGCCCACGTGCTGAACCTTGCACGCTCACCCTGCCCGCCTCTCCTGCACACTGCACCTGGCACGCCTGCCTTGACCACCCACACCTCACTTGCACACCGGTGCTCATGCGCACACACCTTGCACACGCAGCCTCTCTGCACCGTCGCGCTCGCTGGTTCTCGCACGTGCCCCCGTGCACTCTGCTA